AACAGAAGCACTTCTATTTGGTTCTTTGTCTTAATTTCTGTTTCTTTAGTGATATCATCTATTTATTAAAGAGATAAATTCTCCACATTTCTTTTAGTTCTTGCTCATGGTTTGCTTTAGCTCTTCTTTGGATATAGACATTTCTTGTTTAACCACTGATTTATGGTCCTACAATTAGGTCATTAAATGAATTGTCTGTGGAAGGAGTAATTGTATATTGTAAGCACAATATTCAGAACAAAGAAATGGTCAAAGGAAACTCCAATTTGATGACTTCACTTTTACATGCAGTAAAACAGCATAAAAATATAATACTGTACAGTACTATCTGATAGAACTGTGGGGACTGGCGGCGGCTGAAAAGATAAGAAGTATGAAATATAAATGACCTTTATTTTGAGAATGTGGAGAGAGACACTCCCAATTCCCTGGGGTGTGCCCCCCCTCAGCAATCTCTCCATGGAACACGTAGTGTGGAGGCATACATGTAGCTTAGGTTGGGGGTGGTGCCTGAGGAGCATTAGGGATGCACAGGTAGCCCACTGGTATTCTTTTGGCGCCATAGGTAAATTTCTAGGTGTGGGGAAGATGGAGCTCCTTGGTTCCGCCTGAGTCAGGCTTTATCAGCTACAGTGTCCTGTCTGGGCCAAAATCATTTCACTATCAGCAAAAGTTACAATGCTGTATAAAAAAGGTATACTGAACAAAAAAAGATGTTAGGGTTCTATAAACGAGGTGTATAATACTGTACAAAATATGGTACTCTAGAAAAATGGCTTTGTTATATTTGTATCATAGCAATACCTGTAACTTGGCCTTAGTGTATATGTGTTTTTCCCTTCCCCCTCTGGATGACCTAATTGATATGTTAATCAATGCTCTCCTCTGTAAAGAACTGTAAAATCTTACCTAATTGATATGTTAACCATTGCTGCCCTCTACAGATGTGGTGCTAAAGTAAGGTAACTAAGGTTGTTAATTGCTGCTGGACTTCTCTATTCTTTGCTGAGGAAAACAGGATTTCTTATCTAAACTTGCTTGTTTACAGGAAAACTTGCTTGTTACCTGAATCTTCCTCTTCCCATGAAATGTAATCGGCTTGTTTCTGTTTTGTAGTGTGCCACACCCCATTCCCCTTCCTTGCATTGTGTGACCAGCAGCTGTTTGTGGATTTACAAGATAAAAGCCCTGACTTTGAGCTGTCAGGTGCACAGTCTGCAAATTGACTCCTGGAGACTCATCAGGCCTGGCCTAAAATAAAGCCTTTGCTCCCCAAATTTCAATCTCTTGCTTCTTTGGATTTTATTCCGGGGTCCAAGTTATCACACACAAAAAAATGGATTACAAATCTGAGTGGTGGACTATAAGTTCAAACAGCACCTCTCTATCATAAATCCAAATAATCTTTAAACACATAGGTCATTAAACAAAGAATACTTGTATTTAAAACAGTCAGTTTAAACTCTTTGTCTAGACTTCTTTTTTTTTTTTTTTAAATCGGTACCAGGGATCAAACTCACAACCACTTGCTTACAAGGCAGGTGCTTATGCCGCTGAGCTAAATCCCCAGCCCCGATCTGGACTTCTAAAAAGAATAGTTTTTAAAGTTTTTCTCTATTGTCACACTATTGTAGCCAGCTAAGTTAGGTAGAAATATTATAGGCAGTCAGCCAGGGTTAGGCTGGAGGGAGTCAGTGCAGAAGATAAGAACACATTATATGGCTGGAGGTGCATCTGTTGAAGGCCAGGCCTCAAGATAAAGACAGAATGACCAGGATTACATGGCTCCTTGAGGAACAGGCAATAAACTAAAGATTATACTATGATTGATACCAACTCTTCTGATAAAGTCTAAATAGACATCAGTGACCCAGGTGGGTAACCAGGAACCCCTTGATCCATCCCTTCCTAAAAAAAGTCTTTGTTCTTTCCATGTACACTTGCTATGTGACTTACTTCCCCTCTGAGTCAATATTACCTAAGTGGTTTTAATTGTAAGGTTGGAACTGGACCTGACTCCCCCAGCCCCCAACCTGCTTATCAGCAGAAGCACTGCTTTGCAGGGAACTCAGCTCTCAGCAGTTAACTCAGCTCAGTACTGAAGTTGTCACTGGTAAGCACAAGAAAGGGAGTAAGATAAGACAAGGAAATTTTCAGGGTCCAGGACATCTTCAGACATCTGGAAGAACCCAAAACTTTACACAGGACATTTCAAGAACTTTACCCACTGGAGAACGAGACGAGAACTTTGACCACAGATGTTTATTAAAATCTTCCCACCTAAAGTCCTCTGCCTCCTGGCTATCCCTGTAAAAGGGACACATTTCTTTTTGCTCACTGCAGATGCTTATCACTCTCTGCTTGCCTGCACCCAGGCACAATAAATTCCACATTATGTTGCCTTCACATAAGGCTGGTGGTCTTTGCTGCCCCCCCCCCCGTTATGTTACAATAATTTCACTGGTTGATTATAGTTTTGAGTCACATGTCCCTGCTTTGTGATTTTACTCTTTTAAACTTCCTTTAAAAAGTAGCCTTGTCAGCAACCCAGTTTCAGATCCCTTCTTGTCTCTCAGGAGCTATCTCTCAATAAATTTTTCATGCTCTTAACCTCCATTGTTCCTTAGAATTCACTCTTTGATTTTGAGGAACAAGAACACTGTGTATATGACATATAACAGGTTGTGAGTTATTCTATTTCTGCTATATCAATATTTTCTTGTGGATTTTTTTTTGCATGCCTCAATTTATTTTGTTGAAAACTGGATATTTTGAATATGTTAATATGGCAATTCCGGAGATCAGATTCTCCCCTTAAACTTATAACTATTTTTTGTTTGTTTAGTAACTTCTCAACTAATATTTGTTGTACACTAGCAAAAAGTTTCATTATATTTGTCTGTATAATGCACTTTGGTGCCAGTAAGCTACACCCAGAATGTGGGCCTCCATCTTCAAAACCACCACCACTCTGGAGAGTGGGAGATAATCACAAAGTTATTATCAAAATTCAGCATGTTAAAATCATTTCTCTGTTGTAAATTTTTTACAAGTTCGAGTTTCTAAAAAAGATGATTCTTTAATAGTTTTGTCAACTCGTTCACTGCTTTTGTATACTATACTGACAGTTTTCAAGTTTCCTATTGTGATAGTTTTGCTAACATCTTCACATCACTTATTTTTATTGTGTTTCAGCATTGTTTTCTCAGCTTGAATGCAGAAAAAGAAGTATATTTTTTCTGTTACTGAAACTCTCAAAATAACGTACTGCTGATTTGAAGGCAGGATCAAAGAGCAGTTGCAAAAGTTAAGTAAAGATACTATCAGGAAAATAGCTTATCTCTTGCAATGGCAGCATTACCTAAATTACTGGCCCTGCAATTGCCAAGCCTTCAGTGACAGAGGCAATGTTTGGTGGAATTGAAGTCTAGATATTTTGACACTTGGAATTTGGCATAGGCAAGTCATTTAAATTGTTTAAGACCAATTCTTTACCTGTAAAATAGATTTACAGAATTGTGGTAAAGACTTGAAACGGGATGTCATACGTAAAATATTTGACTCATTATAATTTGATTTGGATTTTCAAATTTGGTTCTTGAGCACATTAGCATATATTGCTTTTTCTTGGTTTCATTCTTTTAAAAAAAGCTGGGTATACAGCTCAGTTACAAATGTCCGGCCTGGCAAGCATAGGTCCTGAGTTCGATTCTCCCTGTGCACTTGCCACTGGCTTTCTCTGAAGAAAACGTTTAGGAGTTGCCATACGGTTTACAGGAGGTTTGGCGTTGCTAACAAACACATTCATTTTACTCATTGTAGAGTTACTTTCGTTGGTTTTGCGGTAGGAGAGGTCTAAACTCCCTCTCCTTCTGGATGCCTGGCCAGAGAACGCAAACCCACTAGACCCGCACACCTAAGGGTCTGGGGCTTGGCGCTCCGGGCGGGGCTGAGCGGGAGGAGCTCTGGGCGGCGCAGAGGCCTGTGGGAGTCGTAGTTCGCAATGGCAGAGTTGACTGAGGCCGCTAGCCTGGCGCTCCCAGAACTCCATCCCCCGCCGGCCCCTGCGGCATAGGCCATTCCCTCTTCCTGTTTCGAGGACCAGTAGCCCGGCGGCCGCGAATTGCGAGGACTGAGGAGGGGTCCGTATCTTCTCAACCAGTTCTGCGAGGTGGACGGTTCCGTCGGCTCAGGTGCGGCGAGCCTTCTGTCGCCTTGCAGACTTGCAGCGTGGGAAGGAAAGAGAGGCGCGGGCTGTGGCGGGCGGCAGGAGGGCCTGAGCTTGCGGGAAGCGGGCTGTCACCTGCGCTGGCTCCTCTGTGGAACGTGTCGGACTGAGGCTCCGTGGGAGAGAAGCGAGGTCGAAGCCGCTACCGCGGAGACTGCTCCGGAGCCGCGGCGAAGCGCGCTTCTCCGGGCTCCAGTGCGGTAAAGTAAGGAGTCCGTGGTGCGAGGAAGCGTTAGGGGAAAGGGCAGGGCTATGCCAGGCGAGCACCCCGAACACTGGCTGATGGAGGCGAATTGGGGAAATGGCAGGAATCCAGCGCCTTTCTTTACTCCAATTAAGGAAGCGCTTGAGGAAAGATACCCGTTTGCGCTTGAGCTGGGACCCCAGATGGGCAAGCTTTTCACAAGACTCAAGTTCTGTGAGTGTCTTGATAGTGGGTGGCCTGACACGATAGATGTCTTAAAATACTGGGACCTTGTCAGCTAATCAAACGCATTATCCTTTTAAATGAGAAAATTAAGGTCCATCGAGTTGGACAAGCCCGGTCGTCACGAGACAGCTAGTTCCAGTGGGTGACCAATTTGGCTGAAACCTAGTTGTCCTGATACCTTTATCCATTGTTGAGATCATTAGCTATGCAAACCCTAACATGTTTCTCTTCCTTTCTCTCTCTTTTTTTTTAATGCTCTGGGACCTGACAACCATCTAATAGATACTAGGCAAAGGCTGAATGTTCCTAAGCTGTCCAGTAAGTCAAAGATATTCTTGTCACAGCTTAGAGAAAAATCTGACTCATAAACTGTTTTCATATTAGGATAAAAGGTTGATAGCAAAGATATCATCTATAGTTCTTATATGTTTAAGATAATAAAACATATCTTTCATTCCCCAGTTCATTCCCACTAGAACACTGAGGACAATTAACCTTACATTTCTTCTCACAGCTATACATAGTGCATATTTGTTACACACATAAAATAATATGCTGTTGATTGTGATTTTCTCATACCCTAAGTGTTTACAATAAAAGATAAATGCAGCATGAGAAACTGGATTACTAATGTGAATTACAAATTAAAATAATGGTTTTTAATATTTTTATAAGGATCTATTGGCATAAAGGTTTTGAAAAATCATCAAAAGATTTAAGAATTTCTGTAGGCCTGCTTTTCACATTTAAATTTCATTTCTTTAAAAAAAAAATTCCATTTCTTTGCAAGTGTTCTTTCTTCTTTTTGCCTAACAAAATTTTGGAATGCTTAGTATACCTGGATTGGATGGGGAAAGGGATTCTTTGGTAATGTAGTACTGCTGTAGTCCACATTGACCTCAGGTACTGTCAGATTTAAAATCCCTTGAAGCATTAATAGATCCAGCTGTTACATCACAATTAGATTATTCTATCTCCTATTAGCTGACCAATAAATTACTCATAAGGAAGAATTTAGGAGTCTGGGGATTTAGCTCAGCGGCATAAGCGCCTGCCTTGCAAGTGTGTGGTCGTGAGTTCGATCCCTGGTACCGATAAAAAAGAAAAAGACAGAAAAAGGAAGAATTTAGATAGGTTTGCTGACTTTATACAGTCACAGACTTGTACATAAAATGAAAATGTACATACCATAGCTACTTCCACCAGACTGCTTTTTTAATGGTGTGATCCCGTGTCATTTATATTGGCATATTACAGAGGTGGGTAAACTAACTAACTTTAACCTGCTGATGGGTATGTTTTCTCTTTACAGAGTTTTGTTGGAACAAGCCATGCATACTCACTTACATATTGCCTTTCTCATAAAAGGCAGAGTTGAATACTCACAGAGAGGATGTAACTGGAAAAACCTAAAATACTTATTATCTGGCCATTTACAGAAAAAATTTGTCAACACCTGGCCTAATAAACTGGAAATAAATAAAGTGTCTGAAACTCTGTAACATATACAAGTATATTAGGTAATACTAATTTTTAGTGTCTGAGAAACATTGTGTAAATACTTAATACATTAGATCCACAGTCACATTTGTTTGGGCTCAAGCCCAAATATTCTTTTGCAAATTAATGGAAGCATTTGGCATAGATACTATAGATTTGTTTTTGCAAAAATTGTGAAAGTTTCTGAACCTTGTATGGAATGAGCGGTTACTCTTTGAGATATACTTAACAATCATAGTCAAACCTTTAAAAAACTGTCACACTGACTTTCTCTGATGGTTTTTTATGTACTTTTTATGGAAATAAGCTTCAGTAAGGCACTTACATTTAAAACTTGAAAGTATCAAATCAGGTAAGATCCTCTTTTGGCACCTATCTCACTCTGTTTATGCTGCTCTAACAAAATATTTGGGACTGAATAATTTATAAAAAGCAGATTTATAGCTGAGCATGATAACCTATGCTTTTAATCTTAGTATGTAGGAGACTGAGGGAGAAAGTTTGTCAGTTCAAGTACCACCTACAGTAAGGCTCTTTTTCAAAACAAACAAAAGGTTAGAGATGTAGCTCAGTATGGAAAGTCCTGAGTACAGTTCCCAAGATCACAATACAAAAAATACAACAAAACCAAATTTATATTTGACAATTCTGAAAGTTGGGAGATTCCTGCTTAACTTGCAGTTGGGTTTGGTGTTTGCTTGAGGAACCTGTTTATGCTTCCAAAATGATGCCTTTGTGCTGTACTGTCACACAACAGAAATTTGGAAAGGCAAAAGAGATAAAACTAGTTTCCTTTAGTCCTTTATAAAGTTGATAATTCCATGAATGACCATAAAATTCAAGATTGTGATTCAATGTGTGAATTTTGAAAGGAACAAGAAGCATTAGCAGGACCCTGTATTAAAACTAGTCTTAAACAATTAGGGCATCATTATCAAGTGATCTAGTTTTGATCTAACAGATTCACATTTAACACTTTGTTTTAGGGCTGGGGATTTAGCTCAGCAGCATAAGCACCTGCCTTGCAAGCAGGCGGTTGTGAGTTCGATCCCCGGTACCGATAAAAAGAAAAAAAAAAAAGACTTTGTTTTAAAGCTCGGAGATTAAGGTAATGGAAGTAAATATGTCTGTTTATGTCATGTTTAATTCCCACCAAATTATATCAGTGGTTTGACTATGGGAAATTACTGCTGGTGGAGCATTTAGTATTTTAATCATAAATGGAGTGTTTGCTTTATAATCTACGCAGTATTAGCTATGGCACTCTTAATTCACCTTTCAGCCTAACTCATGAAACTGAAGAATAAAGTTCTACTCATTAAGACATTCAAAAAGGCATTTAGAGAATTCTCAGAAGACTAGGATTGGAAGTTCCATTCAATCCATCTATTCTCCTCCTGGGTGTTTTCCCAGAAAAACTGAAAAGGTCATATCACAGTGATATATGTGCACCCATGTTCATAGCAGCACAATTTGTAATAACTAAATCTTGGAAACAACCGAGATGTCCATCAACCTCAGAGTGGATGAAAAGAATGTGGTATTTTTATGTAATGGAATATTACTCGACTATAAAAAAGAATAATCTTGAGGCCTTCATAGGTAAATGGAGACAATTTGATCCTCATTTGTGAAATAATCATATTTATAAATATCACATTGTATCTCTAGTGTAAAAAGTGATAAACGTAGGAGTAATAAAACCCAAAATGTGTAATTGCTATTGTAATAAAGAGAGGAAAAGGAAGTGCTCTAAAGGATATAACTGCATGTACATTTACGTGTGTAGGATTCATAATCATATTACTAATTTTTGTTGCGTTATTGAACAGAACTGTTTGCAGTCTCGCTGTTTGACTGTCCACTTTGTATGCTTTACTTTTGTAACTTAAATAACTTTTTCTAAGAAGACAATATGTAATTTATCAACTACTGATTTCTTGCTGTTTATTTTTTTCAAATTATTATTTCTCCCCTTTTCCTGTTTTTTTTTTTCCTCTTTAAAAAAGGCATTTAATTGCTTTGAAACAACTTTCCAGGAGATTGAAATTCAGGCTATTTTAAGGAACTAAAAATTACCAATTTCCTTATGAATCTTTTTAGTTACTTAAAAATTATTAAATCTTTGATTTTTTTTAAAGATACCAGGTACTTCAGATTCCTTGCACATTATTTTAAATCACTGAAGTTTTCTGCTTCTCTGTAATTATATAGATTATTTTACTATTGCCACAGAATTTCAGATTTTTCAAAATAAATAAATGTGACTAAACTTGGACTTATAAATTCTTCAAGACCTTCATACTTTACCCAATCATAATTATCACTTTTTGGTAAGACTGCTGAAATCCAAGGATCTTTTTAAATTTCTCCTCTTTCCTGGTTCCTAGCATCCAACTAATTAAAACATTGGTCTTCATGAGTTAAAAGCATCCTCACTCTAGGAATTCAGTCATATTCTTAGTATACTAGTAGTTTAGGAAGCAATACTGCAGAATATTGGTTTACAAAGTAAATAGGCAAGCACAAGCATATTTTCTTCCATTGTTTAACCAGGTTTCTTTTTTGTTACCGTGAGTTGGCTATGGTCCTTTGCCCTGTTTTATTGCCACTGGAAGGGATGTTACTGGCTAGGGAAATGTCTAGTCTGTGAGTATAAAACTTTATGCATGAGAGCTGGGCGTGGTGGCTCACACCTGTAATCCCAGCACTCAGGAGGCTGAGGTAGGAGGATCATTGAGAGTTTGAGACCAGCCTGGGCTACAAAGTGAGCTCAAGGCCAGCCTGAACTACATAGGGAGACCCTGTCTCAAAAAAGACAAAAAAAAAAAAAAACGCACCTTATGCCATTCTGGGTATTATTGCTCTGCTGTTTATAAAGCTGTACAGGGAAGAGCTGATTTTTCAGATGGTTCTTTTGTCTTTCAGGTAGTCTCATTTCTTCCTTAAAGCAGATTATCAGAGTGTAGTGTTAGTACATTTGGAAACGAAGTGTCCAGTTCTGTAGTTTTATTAGCTAAGTGATTTAAGACAAACTTCTCTTAAGCATTAATTTCTTCCTTTCTTCCTTCCTTAATTTTTCCTTTTTTTAAATATTAAGGTAGTATTTCCCAAATTTTAAGAATTAATTGATATTAAATAATCTGTGTAAACATACTAGACAATCTATTAGTAAATGTTGGGTCCATCACTACCTCTCTTTCTATTGATTTACCTTTTTCTCCTGAGTTTTTCCTCCAAAATGAAACCTAGTTTGCTTCCTCAGAAATAATTATTTTCCTTTAATACTGTTTGTGACAGTTTAATAATTCTAGGATAAAACTTTTTATTTGATTTTTTTTTAACCTCAGTGAGTTTATTTCCTTTACAGTAAAGAAATGTAGATATGTCTACTGATTTTATTTAGGCTGCTGAATTAAGCCAATGGATAATTTTTCTAGTTACTTTTTAAAGAATCAATAATAACATACTTTGGTTTACTGAGCACTCAATGTGTACCAGGAACATTATCTTATTTAAATTTCAAACTCTGTGAGACTATTACTTTTACTGTCTACTAAACCAGTGAATCTTTTATATTGTTTTAATTTTTGTACTGACACATGTTTGCAGTACGCAGTGATTGCAATCTTCATGAGGGAGTTGGTACATGTGTATACCAGTTTTATCTTTATTTCTTTCCCTTTTTTGTTGTTTTTGTAAGATTGGCTAGGTCTCTATTTTATTTATTCTTTCAGATAACGTGCTCTTCATTTTCGGTTTGGTTTGGTTTTAGTCTGAATTTCACTAAGTTCCACTCTGATCTTTATAATTTCCTTCTTTGTATTAACTTTGGACTTTGGTGATTCTTTTTTTATTTTATTTTTTTTTTAGGACTTGAGGTGCATCATTAAGTTATTTATTTGGACTTATTCTGTTTTTGTGATGTGTGCCTTCACAGCTATAAACTTTTCTTTCAGGACTCCTTTCATTGTGTCCCATAAGTCCTGGTGTGTAGTAATGGTAATATTGTTTGATTTTAGAAGCTAATTTATTCCTTAATTCCTTCTGTGACCTATTGATTATTCAAGAATGGATTGTTTAATTTCCGTGTGTTTGCATAATTTCTATGGTTTCTTTTGCCACTGATTTCTATTTCTTTGTGCTATGCCTGGGATTTTGATCTTTTTTTATGTACTTAAGTGTGCTTCATGGGTTTGTTGATGATCTACTGGGAAAATTTCCATACGCTTCTGAGAAGAATGTATATTCTGTTAGTTGGGTGAAATAACTATATATATATATGTATGTATGTTAAGTCCATTTGTTTAAAAGTTTTGTCCAACCCTGATACTCCTTTGTTGATTTTTTTGTCCACCTGACCATGTATTTATGATAATGCAGTACTGAGTTCCCCTACTATGATTTTATTGATGTTTATTTGATCTTTTATGTACAGTCATTTATTTTATAAAGTTGGATACACTAGTATTCAGTACATCTATGTTTATCTTCCTTTTGAATTGTTCCTTTAATCAATATATAGTAACATTCTTTGCCTCTTCTGGCCAGGTTTATCTTGAGGTACACTATGTCTGAAAATAGGATAGCTTCTCCTACTTGTTTTCAGGTTTTTATTGCATGGAATATTGTTTTTCACCCGCTGATTTTTAGTGCATAAATTTCCTTTTGGGTTAAAAGTGTTTCTTGTAGGGGGCTGGGGATTTAGCTCAGTGGCATAAGCACCTGTCTTGCAAGCAGGTGGTCGTGAGCTCGATCCCCGGAGTGTTTCTTGTATATACCAGTTGGGGTATTTCTTGATCTACTGTGCTCTGTGTCTTTCAATTGAAGAATTGAGACCGTTCACAACAAGCATTGCTATCAAAAGGTATTGACTTATTCCTGTCATTGCATTATTTTCCTGTTGCTGATTCCCTTTTGTTTCACTGCTTACCCTGCCTGGTGTATTCATCCTATTAGACTTTTGACATTTTTGCTTCTTTGTATCTTTCTAGGATATCCCTGAGAGTTTTTTGTGGTATATTGGTTGATGGTTATGAATTTCTCTGTCATGGAAATACCTTATCTCTCCATCAATTTTGACAGATAGTTTTGCAGGATATATTAGTCTGGCTTAGAAGTTTTTTTTCTTTTAGGTCTTGAAATACTTTACTCCAAGCTTTCCTAACCTTTAAGGTTTATGTTGAGAAGTCTGGTGTCAGTCAAATGGGTTTATTTTTATAAGTGATTTGTTGCATTTCTCTTAACATTTTTAAAGATTCTGTCATGGTTTTGGACTTCTGGAATTTTGCCTATGATGTGTCACACAGAAGTTCTTTTCTGATTGTGGCTATTGGGGGTTCTATATTCCTCATTTATCTCTGTGTTAAATTCTTTTCCTATATTTGGAAAGTTTTCCTCTATTATTTCTGTAAACAGATTTTTCATAGCATTTTTGCTGTATTCTAATTTTTCACTAATTCCAATTAATCTTAGATTAGTTTTCTCTGTGTCATCTAGCAAATATTAGGTCATTTTTTCATGTTCTTTTGTTGCTATTAAAGTTCCTCTGAGTAATTGCTCATCAACAGCCTGTGTTCTTATTCTAATATCCTGTCCCCACATTGTCACTATGGTTGCCTGTACTTTAAAATAGAATTTTTAATCTCCTGAATTTCCATTTTGTGCTTTTCAATGGGCTCTTAAGTCTTTGCTAACCTGGTCATTTATGTTTTGTATTGTTTTGTTTAATTCATCTAATTTTTTATTAATGTCTGATGTAAGGATGCCACTTGTTTATTAAGTGCATTATGCAGAGTTTAATAGTGCTTGGCATGTTTCTAAATGCTTATATGTTCAAATTTATATATTAAAAAACTTGTTTATGTATTTAAATTTTCCTGAATAAATTTATCCCAAGTTCTTTATATTACTTTTCTTTTTTTTTTAGAAGGATGAGATCCAGGCCCTTGGGCACACTAGGCAAAGACACTACCATTAAGCTGTACCCTCAGCCTGTGTTATTTTATTTTGTTGCTGATTTTTTATTTTTTTGAGACAAGACCTCACTATGTAGCACAAGCTGACCTCAAACTTACTACGTAATCCAGGTTGGCCTCAAATTCATGATGACCCTCCTACCTCGATCTCCCAAGTGCTAGGATTATAAGAATGTGCCACTGTGGCCCGCTGTTACTCTATTTGATGATCAGCTTCATTTCAGTCATCTTTTCAATATGTAAGATATTTTTTAAATTGAAAAAATATTTTAAAAGTTTATAAAGTTATTAACAAAATTCTAAATATAACTTCTCTATATATTCTGAAGCTTTTAACTTCTTTGTTCTATCCAGTTTAAAATTGGATTGCAAGTTTGAGCCCAGTTTGCACAACTTGTTGAGGCCTTGACTGAAAAATCTAAAAATGAAAAACAACCCAAGCTTGTAGCTCATTATGAAGCTCTGAGTTCAATACTCTGTATTATAGAAAGAAGGAAAGAAAGAAATCATTCCTAATTTTATTAATTAATGGGCCAAAACCTGAATTTTAGTTTTGCAATTTAAGGCCAAGCATGTCAACTGAATTGTTATGCAGTTTCTATTTCCTCAGTTGACTCTGTTTTAGTAAAATTAACTTTATCTCAGTTGCTCCCCATCTTAAAGCAGTTTCAGTGACAATTAGCATTGAAGAACATTTTTTATGCTCCACATTTGAGTATGTATAAAGTACTATATGATTCTGTGATTCAAAAAGTATCAAGTAAATGTTATATCTTAGAATAAGTTTTGCATAATTTATTACTATGCTAATTTGAAAGCTAGGGCCAGCAATTGATACTGAGTTGAACTAAAACAGAAATGGTGAACTTAAGGTATTAGTAAGATACTAGGTTTTATTATTTAAGAGGTTTAGCACACATTTTTCTGGGCTCTATAAGTTATATTTTTTAAGTTTATTGTTAGTGGGTAACATGGCTTTATTCCTTTTCTATTTTTCCTTTTCTTATATTGTAAGGAGTCATTAAAATGAAGGTTACCATTGTTATTTTAGTTGTTTTATCTTGAAAAAGATAACTATTCTTTACCACTGGACTCTCCTTGTAATATGTTGAAATAAAGTCTTTGTTGCAAATGGTAGTATTTTGGTCCACTTACTAGAACCCAGTCTTGCATGTACTGGCAAGTGCTCTACTTCTGAACTATACCTCCAGCTCCTTTCCTTTTTTGTGAAAAGTTACTCTTACAAGTACTATTTTAACATTTTTTATTAACATTTGTTTGTCTGCAGTGGAAACCTTTGACTTGCTTGAACATTGGGCTAGAAAGCAGAAGAGCACAAGAAGGAAATGAAAAGGAAAGAACCAGAGAGAAAAATGCATATATTTTGGGAAAAGAACATGTTATCGGCACCCACATCCCATAGTCAGTGGCACATTGGCAAGAATTGCCTAACTGATATTACTGAAGATTTTCTCATTTAAAAAGTTGAGACTGTACTTGAAAAAAGTGTTTTCATTTAGTTTTTGAGATGAATTCAGTTAAAAATTTGTTTTCCAATAAAAGTGCTAAATGTAATAATGAGCATCGTCTCACTTAATTTTCAAACACTTCAGTGAGGGGAGTGTTAATATTTGGGCTTTGTAGATAAAGGAAGCTTTAAATGGGTTAAATGAATTACACAGGTAGCATGTGACAGATACAGGGCTTCTGACTCAAATATTTTATTCCATAGATGTTATATTTAGAAAATTAGGATAAATTGACATAAGAATCCAGTAAACAAAATAGCAACAGTACAACTGTACTTGTCAAGTAGTCTGGGTAGTAAAAAGAAAAAGAAGGAGATGAAAAAAGAAAGTGAGAAATTGCAATGAACAGGAAAACGTTGCAGCATGGTGGTAAAGAATACAGATTCTTTACTGCCTCAGTTTGTATCTTAACTAATGCTTTGTGATCCATACTTCATTTCTCTGTGCCTTGTGTCCTTACTTATAAAATGAAGATAAAAATAGTAACATATAGGGTAAAGAATAAAAGAACAGCACTTACCTTTATATGTCAAGACCTACTTATTTCATTTTTGGAATTCTCTTTGTTTGTGAACTATGCACATAGGAAAGTATGTAAAATGTGTGTGTGTGCTGAATAATTATAAGACAAATAGACATGTAACCAAAATCAAGTTGAAACAGAATACTACCATTTGCAGAAAAGGCCTTCTTCTGTTCTCTATTATAGCCTTCTATTTTCTTTCTGTAGTACATTTGTTTTTGTTTTCACCTCAGAGTTATTTTATCTCTTCTGATTTATGTAGGACTAACTTCCTCCATGCTTAGAATCTGAGAAAAATGGCAAACGTGCACGACCGGCATCACCTCATCTCTGAAATAGATGATGAAGTAAATCCTGGACCAATGAATATTCAGTTTGATTCATCAGATCTAAGATCCAAAAGGTAAGAGTTTAAGATAGTTCATGATTAGAATTTTTAAGACTGGGGGCTGGGGATTTAGCACGGGGCTGGGGATTTACCTCAGCGGCATAAGCGCCTGCCTTGCAAGTGTGTGGTCGTGAGTTCGATCCCTGGTACTGATAAAAACAAAAAAGACAAAAAAAAAAAAAAGTAAAAAAAAAAAAGAATTTTTAAGACTGAAATATAATGAATTATAGTCACACACATGTAGAACTGACTATAAAATACTGAATTTCTTTTTCTGGTATTAGGAATTGAAACCAGGCCTTTGTACTAACCTACATCCCCAGCCAACTTTTTTTGTACCAGGAATCGAACTCATAACCTTGCACTTGCCAGGCTTACGCCATTAAGCTAAATCCCCGGCCCAGCCAACTCTCTTTTCTTCTTTTTTTAATGTAGGGTCGTGGTAAGTCATTAAATTGTCTACACTAGCCTCAAACCTGTGACCCTACTGCTTTAGCCTCCCAGAGTGCTGGGGTTACAAGTGCACACAACTACACTCAGCTTAACATACCTAATTTCTTACACAGTTGATATATATAAATGGGGGAACAGATTGTGAATACTATATCCATTATTTTATTTTTTGTACTAAGTTCAGAATCTCTCAGGGAAGGGATTGGAATAAGTTTTACAAAGTAAGATACATTAATATCACCTAATAAATGCATTTGATTAACTTAAATATTTATTACCTACTTTATGCAAGCTAGTGTGCCAGGTGCTGGAGATATAAAAGATATAGACCAACTCAAGCAACTTAGTAAGACTCTCTCTCAAAAGAGTAGAATAGAATAGAATTAGAAAAAAGGGCTTGAAATGTAGCTTAGTACTAGAATGTTTGCCTAGCATATGTGAAATCCTTAGTTCAGACCCTAGTACTATTTTTTAAAAACTCAGCCTTTGGGGCTGGGGATTTAGCTCAGTGGCATAAGCGCCTGCCTTGCAATCAGGCAGTCGTGAGTTCAATCCCTGGTACCGATAAAAAGGAAAAAGACAAAAAAAAAAAAAAAAAAAAAAAACCTCAGCTTTTAAATGTTTACATTTATTGAATTTAAATATCTGCAGAAAGTTTACATAATTTGAATTATTTTATTTTTTTTAATTTTATTTTAAAGAGACCAAAACAAAACAAAACAGAATAAATCTAATCAGAACTGAACAATGGGAGTGATACAGGACTTCAAAAACAAGATAATAGGAAAATCAACAATGTCTATCATAATGTTTCTGTTTTCTTCAAAATAGCTGTCAGTACTAAGAGACGTAATAAAATCAAACAAAAAAACCTAATAAAACCAAAAGAATGAAACTGTATTTTAAGAGAATAAAACCAAACAAAATAAAGCCAGCCAAAACAAAATCGTGAAAGTGATATAGGATTTCAAAACAGAATAATAAGAAATCAACAATGACTATCATAATGCCTCTTGTCTTCAAAATTGCTGCCCATACCATCAAACACATAAGAAAATCAAAACAGAACAGAATAAAACCAATCAAAACAATAAAACAAATCATGAAATAAAGCAAAACAATAAAATGGAACAAAACAAAACAATATTGGTTTTCAGAAACAAGACACAAGAAAATCCCCATATTTGCTATATTATGTGTTATCTTTTTTTTTTAACACTTTCAGATCCACTTTTATTCTTTTTTTCTTCTGCACATACAGAGCTTCTCCACAGACCTTTTTTTTTCCTTTTTATTGGTACCAGGGATCGAACTCATGATTGCCTGCTTGCAAGGCAGGCACTTACGCCGCTGAGCTAAATTCCTAGCCCCCTCCACACACATTTCTTGCAGTCATAAAATCACTTAATGTTGGCCAGGCACCTTTTAACCCCTAAAACTTTGTTAGCATCAAAACATGAGTTAACCTGTATTAAACCCGTAAAATATTTACATTGCATACCACATTAAACTTTAGACACTCGGCAATTAAACACATTAAAAAAGAGGAAAAGACCCCCACCCCACATGCTGGAGATCAGGTGTTTACCAATCCATATCTGGTGAGTGGATATTGGTTCAAAGGGCAGCAGGCAGTTATTTCAGAGGTCATGGAACATTGTGATCTGGATGTGCATTGCACAATTACCCAAGGTAGGCAGTGCCATTATCCCCTTAATAATGTTACAGACTACCAGCCTTAGGCCTGCAAAATCAATCAAACAATACAAGCATTAAGTTGTGTTTGTTTCTTAGTTGCTATCAACACAGCCTGTCCTCTGAATCAGCCAGGTGCTTACAGTAATAGATAGGGTGGTAGGGGGTGGGGGAATGTTTTTGTTTCCCAGCCTGCACACTGGCTGGCTCACATTAAGGGTGAATTGGCTTATTGTTACTCCTCCCAGGCCCAACATGGCTTCCACTGACTCATGAAAAGAGTGAATTGGCTTGTTTCTCCTACTCTGCCCCATTTGGCTTGTGCCAGCTCACAGAAAGGGGAACTTGGCTTCTTGTTCCTTAATTTGAATTTAAGTTTTACTTCAGTTTATAACAAAAACCAAAAAGAATCCACTGAAAAGATATAAATAATTGGGCTAGAGATATTGGGCTAGAGAGTGCTTCTTTCTAGTACGTATGAAACCATGGGTTCAATCCCCATTTCTGAATATATACACATACACACATATATATGTACAGTAAGAAAATTCAATAAGATGGTTGCTACCTGGTAAGGTACAAAGTAAATAACCTTCCATTACAAAAATACAATGGAAGAAAAAAATGCATTGAAAGTCTGAACAAAAATGTGCAAAATTTATGAGAGAAATTTTTAAATGCTCCTAAGAGATAAAAAAAATTGAATATTTATGAAATCTGAGATAATTTGGAATATACATTACATTTTTAAAATGCAATGCTTAAAAATACTGCTACCAGTACCCCTGGTATAATAATCTCTTGGGAGTAAGAATGTTTATTTTGTATTCACTGAGGAAACTCTTAGGTATACTCAATATTTTATCACTTATCTGTTATGTAATTATGAAGTTAAAATATAGACAAATATACCAGATATTACTGATACCTCGTACTTAGAGTCAGATTCTTTTTAATCACTTTTTGACTTGGAGTCAACAAAGTTGATGTTTTATCGCCATACAGAATTCAGAATTATCCTTTATGCTGTCTTGATGTTGTGGCATTTCTTGATTTTCCTTCCAAATCATGACTACATCTTGTTTTGATACTTGCATTTTCCCGATCTTATCAGAAAGTGTCATGGAAGGTTTGCTTTTGAAAACATTATTCATATTTCTTCCTCAAACAATCCTTAAATGATTTGATAACTGAAATGACCAGGGATGGTAGTTATTTGTGCTGCCACCCAGAATAACTACTATTCAAACTGCTACGTAGATGACAGTAAATTAAAAGGTGTTCTAAGTAATAAGCTGGATCCTTATTTAGAAATACTTAGAAGTATGCTATGCTAAATAAGTATTTAGGAATACTTAAATATCTGTATTAGGATAAGTAATGTAACAACAGAACATAAGACTAATTTTGTCATCAAAGCACAAAAATGTGGGTCTGTCAGACTTATGTTTATTCTTTAGAATATTTCTATTGATGAATTATTAATATTAACTTCATGAATTTTATATTCAACAGTGAGTACTTAACAGGAAAAATATCATACAAATAACATATTGAGTTTTTAACATTGTTTATAAAAAAGCATCACAATTTTCAACATTGACTTGTTTTGTAGGTACAAAGTCTAAAGAAGAATATCAGAAATTCCTATCTGAACCACAATGAAATAACCAGTAACACTCTACTACACAAAAAAAATCTTTACTTCAGTTATCATGCCTAAAGCAGTCTATACAACATGACAACAGCAGGAGTTTCCTACTATATTCTACAACATGCACTTAGCAGGGAAATAAGATATGAATAAAATAAAATATCCAGTATGTAGTGACTACTTAAAATGGAGATCAACATTTTCATATGAGCTGTTTACTTGCTTACAAAAACTAACAGATAACATCAAAAATTTAAAAAATGTAAACTACAGTGTAAACACAAACAAAAATCTACCACAGAAATATTCATTGCTTCAATTCTCACACCAAGGCAGTCTTCATACATGGAAAACTGCATGTTCCATGTGGTATCCATGTAGTTCCCTGTAGTATCCAGTGTAAGGGATAGACAGCTGTCCCCTTACACTGATAGCATGTATATTTTGTTTTCATATCCTTTCTTGTAGGCCACAGTTGACATCTTTTTTGTTTTCCTGTTACTGTAGTAGGTCTTTGTGATATTGCTCCTGCTTGTTCACCTGTCAGCTCATCAGTGTACTCCACAATTTTTGGTGTAGTTTCCTGGGCTGAAACATTTTGTTTTTCCTCTGCTGTAAATGATGTCTTACGAGCTCCAGTCCCAATCCTCTTAAGAAAATTTCTTCATGATATTTTGCATGTTTTATTTTCTTTGTAAACTATTAAACTATGCCACACTTGTTTAGGATCAAGTGAAACAATCATTGGCCAGTGCTTTGTGTTTCAAATGACATCATAGTTGCTATATAACTCATCAATAACATATACTCCACTTTGGTTTTGTCGTGAAAGTTTCCACCTCAGGATTTCGTTTTGTCAAGGTGTCTGTATCAGTGTTTCCATCATAGTGAAATGTTGACACTAGCAGTACCAGTTTGCTTTTCTTTGCAAGATACGAGGCCAGTGTTATATCTTTATGAAAGTCTCTGTTTTGAAATTACAAAATTTCATCTGAAATTTCTACTTTGCTCCTGTGTTCAGTTCATCTCCTGGTCAACTTGTGCTCTGTTAGCAAATGTGACATCAGTTGGAATCCAGCAAACCAGTTATCAAATGTCACATTCTGATTAGTTTGGGAGATTGGAGCAACAAGTCTGTCCACAGCATCACTCAGTTTATTACTATATGAATAAGGACTTAATGGCTGAGTCCCAGGATAAGTGTCTAAACTGA